ATATAAAAGCAGATTAAAAATGGGTGAGTGGGGGTGAGTCCAGGTGTTCAGGTCTGTCTATTCAATAGCCTGACAACAGTGGGCAGGAACGAACGGCTGTATTTCTTCTTGCAGCCAGCGCGGGTGCTGTCAGGGTGGCCTGTAGGGGTGGGTGGGTCTGTCCATCATAGATTTTAGCTTGGCTAGCATCCTCCTGTTGCCCACTCCTCCAGAGTGTCCAGGGAGCAGCCCAGGACAGAGCTGGCCCTCCTGACCAGTAGGTCCAGTCTCTCTCTGTCCCGGGCTGAAATGCTGCCTGACCAGCAGTCTATGCCATCATGAATGGCTGAGGCCACCACAGAGTCATCAAAGGTCTTAAGGAGTGACCCCTGAACTCCAAAAGACCTCAGTTTTCTGAGCGGGAAGAGCCGGGACTCTGCCCCTTCCTGATCAGAGCGTCCGTGTTGTTAGACCAGTCTAGTTTGTTGAGAACACCACCCAAAAGAAAAAAAAGGCCCCAAATGAGGCAAAAATGTGAAAGGAAATTCAACATATAAAAAATATCTAAAACAAGTATCTCCTGAATAAGGAATCATGATGTACTTTGCATTGTTTGTTATTAGTGCCATCCCTGTACTATTGTGTTGGGATATGGGACAATACTGCATTTCCAAAACAAATACTCAGTCGATTGTAAAGCTCCAAAAGAGAGCTAGACGAATTATCCACCGTTCAATGTTAGGTTTATGCTGGTAATCAGATGCTAAGAACACATCAGGAACAGGAAGACTCAGGAGGCAAGCATGGTTGTCTTTCTTGCAAGAGAGAGCGCGCTAAAACATGTCTCGGTTCACAATCTCAAAGCAGCTCTCCAGCTGGCTCTGCAATGTAAACCGTTACAGGTTCCGGGGCAACTCTGAAGAGTGCGCGTTTGTCTCCTTGCATTTATTGGAAGGATGTCCCTGATACACAATCTACTAACGGGAGTGGGGAGTATTTTCACATTCCACAACAGTTTCAGTAAAGGAGAGTTTCAATGAGAACACAGTTCATTCCTGAGATGTCGTCAAACGGCTCCTACTGGATGTCAATGGTTCACGAACACAGCTTGCGATGTCCCTCTCATGGTGTCCTGGGTTTGATGTTATCTTCTCACAAGCAACAGTTAATTTGACCAGAAGCCGTTCACTTAACAACAAGATATTGTCTTAAAAGCTAGAACAGGAGCAGCCTGAGCTCTCCCGGTCCGACAAGTCTACCATTATCAACCTACCCCATTGTATATGAGGTATTTGCGAGGTATCACTCTGAAACAGGTTTTAAAGTTACACAGAGAGTAAATATGGGATAACAGAATCACATTTATTCCAACATTCAAGTTATAGAGACTCAACAAATCCATTATTGTATCAAATTAAACTCTCTCAAATTCTATGACAGGGTTGAATTTAAAACCGCACAAATAATGTAAAAAACATATTATAAACAACTTTCCCACAGTATCCAGTAGCTCTTCTTAGTCAGAGTGGGTTGTTGTGGTCTAAAGGGCGCGAGTGTCAAAATCAAGGACAAGAACAAACATAAAACAAATATGTGTTTCTGTAAAAGGAGTTCAGTTATGGAGCAATCGTGTTGTAGAATTAAGAAGGTACTTTGCTTCTGTTTAAAACAACCACTAAAGCACTACAAAATTATCTCCGTCAGGTACAAGCAGTGGTTTGTGTGTCCCAGTGGGAGCTTGGTTGTCTGGGACTTCAGCCCCCTGGTCGTGTCACCCATGGCAAACAGGTCATAGGTGAGGGACCTGACAAAACACAGCTCAGAGAGCCCTGATGATAAGTATGAAATTTAGGCGGAATTTTCCCTTGACCGGATGCGGGTCACCATGGCCCCCCTCTGGAACCAGCCCTGGAGGTTGGGCTCGTTGGTGAGCTCCCAGTGGCCGGGCCTTCATCCATGGTTCTACTTAAATTGCACAGCCATGAAATGTCATATTTTATCACTATATTAGATTGTGAAGACAAGGAAGACAAGAACCGCAAGAACATTTTTATGCCTACTCATATTGCAGTATAGGGTAGTGTAAGACCCAGTATAAGTACAACTAAGACATGTCTGACCTCTCGTGGTGATTGGTGATATTACAAATTAAAACTACAGTAGACCCTGCACAGTCGCAGTTCGCCACCCATGGATTCGCAAATTTGCGGACCCCCCTGCCTTTTTTTCCACCAATACTTAAAAAATTATTTACTTGTTAGATTTTTTTTTTTTTTAATGAATAAGGGAGCCACTCAGCGTGCGGCCCACAAGCCCCGATTGCCCATCCCTGCTTTAAGGTGTGCCACTCCTTCTTTCTCTCAGCTAAGAGAGGCTCCACTTTATTCTTGAATCTTGAAACCTCTTTATCACAAGCGACTGAGGACAACACGAAGGTTGAACGGGAACTTCTGTTAGTTAAGTAGAAATCAAACCAGTCGGACCAGTTCCACAGACAACATTTCACAGACATTTCTGTTTATTTTAGTAAGGCAGAGTTTTTATGCTTTCTCTTAGCCTTGTAAAATCTTGTAAAGGTAGACCAGTTGATTTCACAATGCCTTTAACTTTGGAATATGTGAAGATTCACCTCTAAGACAAAGATGGTCTTGCTACTCTCACCGGTCTCTCTTCTGACAGATGAGGAGCTCTACATCCAACAAGCAGTTGTTTTCATTGAAGATGCCATTCAGGTAACTAAAACTTTTCCAGTTTGAGTAAGTGATGGTGTGAACATTTGATGTACTGTTTTAATGTTACAAATGGTTATTTCAATATAAACCTGAATTACGTGCAATTATAAACTTGCTGTTTTTGACAAAACAATCTTTGTTTGCATCAGTGTAACTCGCAGAGCTTTTCTGAACATACTGTGGAACAACAACACGTTCGTAACTGCTATGTTGGCATTTACAGAATTAATGGAGTACTTTCTGAATGTACATTTATCCTTTGTAAAAGTTTTATTTGAGCCCAAAGTACATAATAATACAAGTAATTTATACTGAATCAAATTTAGCTGAATTGTCTAGAACAGGGGTGTTGCTCTCATTTTGGTTCGGAGGCCACATGGAGGAAAATCTATTCCCAAGTGGGCTGACCTGGTAAAATCATATGTAACCTCAAAAAATTGGTGTTAATATTATGCAGATTTTCACTATTGGTGGGACATCCTGGTCTCTATTCCCAGCGAACAGCAGAGGTCAACTGTACAAAAAAAATTACATCTATTTTATATATATTTTTTCGCGCACACACACACACACACACACACACACACACACACACACACACACACACACACACACACACACACACACACACACACACACACACACACATGACATTATTTCTTCTGTTTGAATTTAAGCACACAGCTGCGTACTCACATCAGCTGTGTGCTTGGTCATTAATACAGAAAACGTATCCTAGATTTTGTTTGTTGGTTATTGTGACATTCAAGAAAAAGGACAGCATAAACACTTGTATGAGCCCTACCGTCGCTCTCGGCACAGGCATGTCATATCTACCTATTTTACATATTTATGGTTCCCAGAATGCATTGTGTGGTGCTATACATTTAATTAATGAAATTATACGGATGTTAATCCTTTTCATATGTTTGTGTGACCAATAGTTGGGTGTCATATTTAACCCATTTATGTTTATTGTCCACAATTATGGAGTTTTAAAGCTGTATACGTGTGTCGTATTTTTGTCAGTTTTCTTTGATGTTGACAATGTACAATATAGTTTAGTCAGCATGTTTACTTGCCTGCCTCCAGTATCGATCCATCAACCACCGGGTGGATGCAAGCTCACTCCGTCTGTATCGTTGGTACTACTCAAGGATATGCCAATGGTCAGTTCAAACTTTCTTACTTTCTTCATTATCTGTAAAGCTCTGGTTGTTGATGTGCTTAATTTAATTCACACTCATTGGGTCTTTAAAACAAGAATCATGACCAAATGTTCTTGATCATTGGGTCATTCCTTGCCATTTCATCAAATACCCCCCATGTGACCACCTCAGAATGTCCTGTAAAAATTATTGTAAAAAGCCCGACTTCTTAATAGGAAAGATTTGAATACACTGATCCCCCGCTCTAACGCGGTTCACATTCCGTGGCTTCGCTGTTTTACAGATTTTTTTAGTGCAGTTTTTTTAATGCTTTTAAACAGTGTTCTGCATCCTGATTCGCTAAGGCACTGACCGACGTGAACAGTCTCCGCACCTTGTCTCTGTACAGCTTGCCAAATTTACCTTTGCAAATTTTTGGTCTTTGGTTTCATTCGATCAGTGGCGGATGCTGGTCTGTCAAGTAGGGGAAGCTCAATTTTGGCCTACATCATAAAATGTGTCCCTTTATTTATACGTGAATTCTATTCTCCGTTCCTTTTCAAAAAAAAATGAGAAGGTTGACTTCCCCATAAGATCGCTGATTGGCTCATTTCGCTGTCAATCAAAAAGAAATCAGCCTCAGACAGATCATCCAATCATCATGCAGAAAAGCTGAGTTTCCGGGCCAGCCTATATACGCCCACTGTCCATTGACCAGAGACAAAGTCCTCCGGATTTTCCCGGAATTCCGCGTTTTTCAAATTTTTATCAAAATTTCTCCGGATAATTGAGGAAAATTTGCCTAAAATCAATCCGGATATTGGTTGACAACATTGAACGAAGACGCATTTGAGTTCGTTGTTTTGCTTTCACGAGCGTAGCCATGTTGAGACACTAACAGTAGTAACAGTAAAGAGATTTTCGTCTCTTTATAAACACACTTGCTAAACCCCAGTGGAACGAATAAAAGACACCGTGGACAAGACAGTTGTCGTAAAAAATATATTTGGACAAAAAGGGAAACACACAGATTGGCAGAAAAAGTCCGTCCGATCGAGTGTCGTCTCGGCTAACTTAGCTTAGCTGTTGTCGTGTGTGACCTCGGTTGCGTCGGCGCTGATTAGTTGAAATCCAAAGACGCGCTTGCATACATGTTCGTGCTGAATGGTACCTATCTGCTGCTGAGGCTCGCTTAGCTTGAGTGGCATCGCCACAACAGTAATATCCTCGCCTCGCATTCTCATGGCCTCGCCATATCTCCGAGATTTCGAAATTTTGGCGAGAACAGAAGACACAAAGGGTGCACGTGTGCACACAAAAGGAAGATTAGTCATTGAATGTCGAGTATTTAAATAGCGTTTCGAGTAACTAATTCATGCGTGATTGGCCAAGTGTGTGCGTGCGTGCGTGATATATATATATATATTTTTTTTTTTTCCGGAATTTTCAGAAAAGTCCACTTTCATCTCTGATTGACTCCCAGAGACGCTGAGCGTCCAATGGGCGGGACAAAAGCAGCTTTTATCCAATGACTCGTCTCGTTTCGATGCATTGGGACAACCTACACTGAACTCTCCTGACGCCCAGCGTCCGCGTGGTCGGCGCTCAGCGTCCACACAGTTTAAAGCACAGTGAAGCTGCGGGAATGAATGAGAAGACAGTCGCATCGTAACCAGTAATAAGAAGCTGATTCGGAACAAAAGTTGATCGCGCTGTAGCGCATATATAGTCAATGACATGTCCACACAATTGTACGTACACACATATATTTGATCACTTACATTTTGACATTTTAGGGGAAGCTGAGCTTCCCTTGCAGTCTGAGAGCAATCGCCTCTGCATTGTATACATAGTTCAGTATTGTACAATCACTGTAAAAAATAAAGCGGACGATCAAGTACCAAATACAACTTTATTGTCAAACGTGCTGTATGTGAAACATACAGCACATTTGAAATTTCGTCCCTCTCACATTTTTTTTTTTTTTTTTTTTTTTTTTTTTTTTTTAAATAAATCCTACTTCACGGATTTCACTTATCACTGGTTCTTTTTGGAACGTAACCCCCACGATAAACGAGGGATTACTGTATTAGGTGTCTCTTGTCAATATTTCTCTCATGAAAAATTATTGAAGTTTAGACATTTTTTAAAATCCTATTCTGAACGGACATTTTTAGCAATATATCTGGAAAATTATCTCACCTGTAGCCTTCAAAATTTCCACAGTCAATATCTGTTACGAATAGCTTTGAGATTTGGAATGTCAGGTGTGGAACTCAATTATAAGGTAGTATGGTAGGAACTTAAACTTCTCCCAAAATTTGGTTTGTCAAAATGAAATAAATTTGAAGAGTTGTTGAGACCCCATTTTTGCAGGATTAAGACTTCTCTCACTTTTGTCTCTATCTGTCGTGGTAGGTTAAACAATCTCCAAAATATGGTTACTTCTTCGTGGATCAGTTCCACAAATATTAAGACTCAAAAAAGGAAGTACTGGTGGCCCGGTAATTGAGTGGTTCGCGCGTCGAGCTCACAGTACAGAGGTACCGGGTTCGATCCCAGCTCCGGCCTTCCTGTGTGGAGTTTGCATGTTCTCCCCGTCGGTTTTCTCCGGGTACTCCGGTTTCCTCCCACATTCCAAAAACATGCATGGCAGGCTGATCGAACACTCTAAAATGTTTAGTCTAAATTGTCCCTAGGTGTGAGTGTGAGCCCGGATGGTTGTTCGTCTCTGTGTGCCCTGCGATTGACTGGCAACTGGTTCAGGGTGTCCCCCGCCTACTGCCCGAAGATGGCTACAGTGGGCTCCAGCACTCCCCGCGAGTCTTGTGAGGATAAAGCGGTTCAGAAAATGGATGGATGGATGAACTTCTTTTCAAAAAAATAATCTTTAAAAACTGGGAGGGAGTTTTTTTTTCCTTGTTGTGTCACAGTGTTTTTTTTTTTTTTTTTTAATACTGATATAGGTAGGGTTTTTTGTGGGGCTTTTTAGTGTCCTAATAGTCTACTAGTAAATCTCACAGCAGGGGGCAATTATTTATCAGACATACATGTGACTAAATGCTACTGATAAATGTAACTTTACGAGAACATTAAAATGTCCCACAGCTGTATTTACAAAGGTAATTAGTCCATGAATGTGAGTTGAACGTGGGGAAAGCAGCTATTACATCACATCAAATAGTCATCTTGATTTGAGCATTTCAAAATTTTACATTACAGATCCAATTCCGTTGTCTCATTAATTTGGCAGTCACTTTACAATATCTCTAAAGAACTTCTCTGTTCTGTTGTGTTAGCTTTTTTGATAGCATACATATGCCCAGTTCCTATCGAGGGATCTTCAATCCTTGCACTTATATGCTGCAGTCGGACATTGTACAGGTCTTCTGGACGACTGTCTCTCATAAACTTATCTTATCTTATCTTATCTCTCAGCTGGTAGCAAATGATTTCACCGCAGCTGATGCATCATTGGCTTACTTCAATTGGTCATTGATCATAAAGATTCAACTTTGTAAAAATTAGAAGTGTTGAGATTATTTTTGAATTGCCCTGCTGCTGTAATGTTTACTCGTAAGGTTGGACATGCAGTACCAAAAACAGCCACAAGCCCCTCACAATTATCAAGATTAAAAAAAAAAAAAAAAAAAAAAAATCGGTGTTTCGAAATGAGGCAAAACACTCTCCCAGCGTTTTTAACTAGAATTTCAACTTTCAACAAAAGTAAGGTTGAATATGATACCTGTTGTCAGGTTTTTTGGAATATGGTTCTGAAGTTGGGCAAAGATTTGTTTATTTCCTTTTTTGAGCCTCATTATCTTTGAAACAAATTCATCCAAGAAAAAACATTCTGGAGAATGTTTTAGCTGACACTAGAGAGAGAGAGGCAGAAGTCATACAATTTTTTATCTCCAAAACTGTAAGCTCAGCCACTCTTTAGGTTTGCTATTTAATTTCGATAAGCCAAATTTTGAGAGAAGTTTGAGTATCTACCATACGCGGTTTTATTTGAGCTACACCAACCCCAGACATTCCACATTAACAGATGTCCACTGTAGAAATTTTGAAGGCTACAGGTGAAAACGATTTGCAAATATTGCTGTTTTAAAATGGCTTTTCACAGTATGATGCTAATAACCGTCTAAACTACCCTTCATTCAAGGATTTTTCATGAGAAAACTAATGACAGTAGAGACCTAATATTTGTGATTTTTTTTTCCTATCACACTAGATTTTTTTTCCAAGACATTATGTGATGCCTAGGTGGGAAGATTTTCGGAAATTTGATGAAATGACACATAATGACCCCTTTTCTTCTTTCGAGTACACTCCTTTACTGTTATTTTTAAATAGGTTTTTAAAACTAATCTGTTTTCAATGAGGATCATTGTCCTGTAAATTGACAGATCGGTTGATCAAGACACATCAATTACATAAACGCAGATACTCTACATACATTGTAGGTTAAAGTGCAAGCACAATCCATTGAATTTGCCTTTCAAAATAAAACTTTGATTGTAAAACCTTTATTAACTGTACAAGTGGGACGGTGGTCAATTAGTTAGCACATCCGCCTCACAGTACAGAGGTGCAGGATTCAATTCCGGAGTTTTTATGTTTTCCCAATGCCTGCGTGGGTTTTCTCCGGGTACTCAGGTTTCCTCCCACATTCCAAGAATTGGCCGGCAGGTTAATTGAACACACTAAATTGTCCCGAAGTGTGATTCTGCGCATGAATGGTTGATTTGTCTATGTGTGCCCTGCAAATGACTGGCATCCAGTTCAGGGTGTACCCCGCCTACTGCCCTAAGACGGCTAGGATAGACTCCAGCACACCCGCGGCCCCCGTGATGAGAAGCGGATCACAAAATTAAATGGATATAACAACATCTAGACCAGTGGCTCTTAACCTGGGTTCAATCGAACCCCTGGGGTTCCGGTGAGTCGGTCTCAGGGGTTCGACGGAGGGTCTGCCATGGAGGGTAAGACACACGCGACTCAACATGTTAATTAGTTATGACATGGCCGCTTGGCCATCAGTGGCTGCAGATGATCACATAACATTGCTTGTCTAATAAGTGCTGTGGGAAATTTAGTTCGCTTAGTAGTCAACGTGTGACTGTCGTGATAGTACGTCGTACAATAAAAAAAAAAAAAAACAAGTATACTTATCTCTTGAAATTGTATTTACTTTTTTCTGTTTTTAATAAATACGGGTTTTTTTTTCAATATCTTGAATTTATGAAAAAATATATAGCATATTTTCCGCACTATAAGGCGCACGAAAAGTCTTCCATTTTCTTAAAAGCTCACAGCGCGCCTTAAAATCTGATACACCTTTTGTATGGTGATTGCGGTAATACGTCGACCCCAAGATGGCTCCTTGCTAGAGACATGCTTACAATGTTATAACTTGCTGTTGGTTCAGTGAACTGTGTCGTTGCTTTATTAAATATGTTTTTGTTGCAGCCCCGAAAAAAGGAGAGCGGTGGTGTTGTTTTTTAAAACGCACATTTTATGAATGGTTTTCACAGTCTCAACAAACACAGGTACATCTTTGTCTGTCTCCGTGCCTTTCTTCTTCCGTTCGACTCGAGAGGCGTTCATGACCGCCTCCGACAAACGTAAATTAACGATTAGTTCAATGAAACTACGAAAATTGAAAATAATGCATCAAAACATAAAATCAAGCACGGAAATCACAAAATAAGTTCTAGAGCCCCCCTACAGCATTTATTTTGTCATTTCCTCGTTTGTGAATACAGTACACAACAAAGGAATAAAAAACAAATACTTCTGAGACAGTCCAGTCTCTTAAATTTTATTAACTTCTGATCGTTCTGTTGGAGCTTTGCTCAAGTAAATGCCAAAATTAATTCTGTAGGGAGGCTATAGAATTTATTTTGTGATTTCCTCGCTTGATTTTCTGTTTTGATATGTTCTTTTCAATTTTCGTAGTTTCATTGAAGTCATGTTAATTTGTTTTTCGGAGGCGGTCTTAAACGCCTCTCGAGACGAATGGTAGGAGCGTAGCTCCATCTAGTGGATGCATTGTAGATTGTGCCTTATAATCCAATGCGTCCAATGTATGAAAAAAAATTACAAAATAAGCCATTCATTGAAGGTGCGGCTCATAATCCAGTGCGCCTTTTAGTGCGGAAAATACAGTATTTATTTTCACTCATGAGAGATTAGAGTCCTCCGGATTTTCCCGGAATTCCGGATTTTGAAATTTTCATGAAATTTCCTCTAGAAAATTGAGGGAAAATTGCCTAAAATTAATCCGGATATTAGTTTACAACATTGAACGAGCACGCGTTTGATTTCGTTGTTTTGCTTTCACGAGCGTAGCCATGTTGAAGCACGAACACTATTAACAGTAACACCCCTCCCCTCGCATTCTCATGGCCTCGCCATATCTCGGAGATTTAGAAATTTTGGCGAGAACGGAATTTGTACTAGTGCAATATCCCTTTCAAGTCTCTGTAATCTACTATTTGTACCCATGCAGGGGTTTAGGCTTGACCATTGCAGTGGTACTGTTGCTGGCGTTTGTGGAGCGGCCATCTTCCCTTTCCGTAACATCTGACTCTCGATATCGCTCTCCACCTTGGGAGCCTCCTTGTGGCTTCACTGAGAGCATTGAGATAGTCTGTCTCCTCATCTTTACTCTTGATCTCGCCATTAAGGTACATCCATTCAAAGATTGCTTACAAAGACAGCATACTAAAACAAAAAAACAAAAAAAAAAAGTATTACCGGGCTTCTCTTCATCTGGTTTGTTCTCAGAGCTACTTGATTGGCTGGGATGAATTCAAGAAGAACAAATGGCTGATGAGCTATACCATGGTCATTTCCATCTCCATCATTGACTGGGTGTTGTCTATCAGCATGGTCTGTGATGAGGTGAGAATTAGACTCTTCATACTAAGCAGGGCTGTACGAAATTCATATTTGAATCTATTTACAACATGAATGTCAGACAAATATTGTAAGGATTAAATCCGTCTGGATTATTTTTCCCTCAACGAAGCCACCCCATCTGGATTCAAACACGTTGAGCAACCCCACCACTGGTTGAGGTGGTGGTGTCGCCACAGTTTTCAAGAGTCACCTCAAACCTAATGCTGTTCCTACCCCTCAGGTTGAATCATTCAAATATACTGCTTTCACACTACTCTCCCCCAACCCCTTTTTGATTGCAGTAGTCTACCGCAACCCCAAGCCAAACCCGTCATTTCTCTCTGATTTAACTGATTTTGTTAATAATAATAATACATTTTATTTCTAAGCTCCTTTCACAACACTCAAGGACACTTTCCAATCAAGAACAAAAACAATAAAACCACAGATAAAATTATTAATCAAAGAAGAAATGAATTTAAATTGAAGATGCAATTTGAATAGGTGGGTTTTGAGATGGGATTTGAATGTGAGAAGAGAATCAATATTGCGGATGTTGGGTGGAAGGGAGTTTGGTGGCTATTACTCATCTGATAGCCATTTTACTGCCAGTCTTACTTCTTGGTTCCATATAGATAAGAAATCCGCAAATACGCCGCTGACTTCCTAGACCTCCTCGACTGTCTCAATCTCACACGTCACCATTCAGCTACTCACCAGTCTCAACATCCACATCTCAGATCACCTGGCTATAATTTTTGAGAGCCATCTTCCCACCCCAATTGCAAAAGTAAAACATGTCCTATCCTTCACAAACATCGCATCCATCAAGCCCCAAAATTTTACAGTCGCACTCAGTGCCAACTTTGCCGCGCCCCTGCCTCCCCCTTCAGGCAGCATATTGGACCTTAAGCACTATAACAACTCTCTCTCCACTTGCCTTGATCATTTACCTCCCTGAAAAACCAAAACTGTTTCTTACACGTTCACTCCTGACCTTCACCACTTAAAATCCAGAAGACGCCCACTTGAAAGACTTCCTCAAAAACAGACTCACAGTTCACCTGCAATAATACATTGACCACCTTCAAATGTACAAATCCGCCCTGATCCATGCGCATGCTACAGATTTACTCAAAAACCATACACACAGGCTCCAATAACCAAAAATCCCTTTTTTTTCCACCGTTAGTAAACTCATCAACCGTAGTGATAACAACCCCCGACTCATTCACTGGTGAGAAATCCAACTCCCGCCCTCTCCTGTTCTACATACTTGGCCAATAATTGGTCTTTTCTTTTCTGAAACACTTATTTTGTGCAATGAAACACTTTATCCTCCAATCTTGCTGCTGTAGACTGCAAATTTCCCCAGTGTGGGACAAATAAAGGTTATCTTAATAAAGACGATTCTGATTCTGTTATTCCAATCTAAAATCGACTCCATTTACAAATCCTTTTCCGTACTATCCCCTTCCCAGGTGACCCCCCCTCCCCCTTACAATCACCTCTCCTCTCCCTAAATTTTCATCAATCCCCCAAGCCAATCTGACTGAAATCAACACTTCCGTGACATCCTTCACATGCTTATAAAAACCCATCCCGTGGCCCCTTGTTATACAGGGCCTGTCCATCATCTCACCATTTATTACCAGAATTGTTAACTCCTCAATTGTTCCACTGTCACTCAACCCGGTTACTATTATGCCCATTCGCAAGAAAACTGGACTCATTCATGGCGATTTCACTAACTTTCAGCCCATATCAAATCTCCCCTTCCTTTCGAAGATTTTTAAATGTGTTGATGCCTTCCAAATCAAGGCCCCTCTCACTAACAATGCCCTAAATGAACAATTGCAATCTGGCTTCCGTACCCACCACAGCACCGAAACTGCCCTGCTCAAAGTCACCAATGATCTCCTCCTTTCCGACTCTGGGCTATTCTCCTTCTTCATCCTGCAAGACCTCTCTGCCGCTTTTGAAACAATTAACCATTCCATTTTGCTTCACTGTCTTAAGTCTTTTATTCACATCACGGGTGACCTCACATGGCTAATAGCATACCTTTTTGGACAGGAAACAATTCATTTGTATCAATAATGGCTCCTCTTCTAATGTTTTCACAATTCCAAGCTGTTCTTCAGGGCTCAGTACTTGCTTCTCTTATGTTCACCCTCTATCTCCTACGCCTCGGTCAGATTATCCACCACCATGGCTTCTACTTTCATTGTTAGGCCGATGACATCCAAATGTACTTACTGTGTCTACAGAATAAGATAGGATAAGATAAGATATCCTTTATTTGTCCCACACTGGTGAATTTTACAGTCTTCAGCAGAATCCGGACACCATCAGGCCCACTCCACTCTCTCAAACGGCCTTTCTGATAGTGGCTCCTGGATGCAGAATAACTTTCTCAAATTTAACTGTACCAAATCTGACACGATAATAATAGGCCCCAAATTCCTCACCTCACCAACCCTAAATGTTCACCTTTCCCTTGATAAATCCACCCTCTCCTCCTCACCCCACTGCCACAAACTTGGAGTGATCATGGACAATAATCTCACTTACATCTTCAACTGAAACCCTTATCCATGCATTCTTTTTCACCTCACATTGATTGCTGACAAAACCTCCTGTACGGCACATCGTTCAAGTCTCCTCACAAACGTCAATACTTTCAAAACTCTGCTGCCCGCCTCCTCATCCATACCCGTTTCCGTAATGACATCCCCCTTCCTCCAGAACCTTCATTGACTTACCACATCAAATTAAAAATTCTCCTACTCACCCACAAAGCCCTCCGTACCCAGGCTCCCAACTATCTTGAAGACCCTGCCCCAGCTAACGGTAACCTGATCGTTCCAAGGACCCGACACCGTAGTTGGGCTGACAAAGCATTCTCTGTTGCCTCCCCACCCTTTGGAATTCATGACTGAAAGCCATCCAGGACACTGTTGTGACCCCTCAGAAAATGTTCAAGAACAAATGAAAATCACACCTGTTCTGCATTGCCTTTAACCTGCCATTACGACATTAACGGAAACAGAGGCAACACCACTTAAACCGCAACCACTTTTATTTATTTTACACTACACATTACCCTTGATTTAAAGAATCGAAAGTGCAATACACTGTTTCATTCTCACTGGTATGTGATGAGAATTGTTTTCTCAGAATTGCATTGAATTCAGTTCCACTTCCGGAAATGAAATTCGACCTCAAATCAAGATCCTGTTGGGGGGAGCCAATTAAAATTCATCCATTTCATTGAATTGAATTCTGAAATTTGCACAGCCCTGATACACTATACATACAGGTGTGTGCGTATGTGTGTGTATATACCTGTATATATACGGTGTGTGTGTATATATATATATATATATGTGTGTGTGTGTGTGTGTGTGTGTGTGTGTGTGTGTGTGTGTGTGTGTGTGTGTGTGTGTGTGTGTGTGTG